AAATAAATTCCCTTTTCATTATTGGCCCAAAACTATGGTTAATTATGAATAAAACCCGTTGGAACCAATTCCCATCAGTTTCTATGGGACTTAGTCCTGAATAATTTTAGCTAATCTGGGGACAATGTGAGCCACAGTAGTATTTGAAAAAGAAAACTAGCAAATCAGAAACACTGCTTACTGTATCTCCATGTGTGTGTAAAAAAAAAAAAGTCAAATGCCTTATTTTAGGCCAAATTTGCTTCTTTTGAAATAGTGAACACATTCTTTACAGAATTCATAGACTCTTTAAAATGTTACCAACCAGTGTGTCAAAAATATGTTTATATCAAAAATATGTTTACATCAAACCGCCACAATTTTTGCTGACTTGATTATTTTTCATTGTGCTTTGTCTTTTTTTCCAAAGTCTTAATTACTTTTTTTTATAAAAATTGAATGAAGAGATGCTTTGTTTTGTTTTATGCTGCGTATGTACCGTATGCTTGTGAAAGGGAACATAGAAAAGTAAAGGTGTGTTCTTCCTAACCATATGAACCTTTGTAGTGTTATCTGTACTGCACTGTCTCTTCAAACACCCCCAAGTTATTAGGAACCAAGTGAGAAGAAATACTGAAAAGGCAAAGCAAACAAATTGCTAAATGATATCTAAGGAACAAAAAACACTGTTTTTGAAGTATGTATGGTATAAATAAATATCGTTTTTAATGAAAAACATATTTGAGGTATATAAATAATTCTTTCCTGAAAAATCACTGTTCTGCATTCTCATTTTACTTTTGTTTCTGCTAAAGGTCAAGTGGCTTTGGTAAAACTAGACTGGAAACTTAAACATCATCAAGTAGACCTTATTCAGCAAATGAGTTGCACAGACAACATCTGTTTGTTGCACAAAATGAAACAGGATGGCAGATAATTGTAATGAATCAGAGAGGAACAGGCAGACGGTTTAAGCATTAACATTCTTTCATATCAGCATTTGTCAACATTTGCAAGTATGGGAGGGAAAGGACCATGGTAGTGGTAGACTCTACACATAAACTGTTTTAAAATTACAGTCAGCTCTCCATATCCATGGATTCTGCATTCACAGATTCAACCATCCATGGCTTTAAAATACAGTACAGTTGGCCTTCTTTATCTACAGATTTTTTTATCCACGGATTCAACCATCCACAGTTTGAAAATATTGAAAAACATATAAATTCCAAAAGCAAACCTTGCTTTTGCCATTTTATATAAGGGATGCCATTGTATTTAAAGGGACTTGAGCATCCACGCTTTTTAGTATCCACAGAGGATCCTGGAACCGAACCCAAGTGGATATCAAGGGACCTCTGTATTTGTCACCCCTTTTGCATAAGGAAATTATCCACAAATTGGCTGTTGATATACATGCCAAAAGAAATGAAGTGTGCCAAAGGAACTGAAGTGTTCCTTGAAAGATAAAGCCAGCCTTTTGGATATATCCACTATTCTGTGCTCACCAATGTAACCATGCTGGGCAACACTCATCCCCCTCTCTCAAGCAATATATGTACACCACTATCATTTCAAGGGCCAGAGTAATCTTAAAGCTGTCCTGCAGCTGCTGCCAGTTGATGTTGACTGTAAGGAGTTTGACCAATTCTGTGGACAGAAGGGTTGTAGGCTGGATTTTACTGATGTACCTCATGCTAGAACCGAGAGTCAAAGGCCAGTCCCCCAAAGGATCACTGCCATTTCTCAATGCTAGCTGGCAACACAAAGGGGAAATTAGGACATGAGAAGGCACTTCACTGGACTGCCCTACACCTGAAATAATAAGGTCCATCCATTATTCTGGGTGATGCTCAAGAGAATATTTATTTGTTAGTGTTTTGACTCAAAAGGTGAATTAAAAGGGCTGTTCCTAAGATATCAAAGGGTAAGAGAGAGAGAGAGAACAGAACACAACTCTATTAGGGACATCACCCTTCAATATATATATTGCTAGGGGTGTGTAGATGTGTTGTGTGCCTTAGAGTTGTTTTTGACTTATGGTAATCTTTTAAAATGTTCAGATGATGGGAGAGTTGTTGCTGACTTTTCAAATACTGTCCAAGTGCACATGCATTCTCAGTCATACTTGTAATGGGACGTGTGGTGCATCCATAATCCAGTATTGTAAAGAACTGGCATAAATACATCTGATTAATGTTTAGATCCACAGCTCAAAAAGTTACATATTTACTATGTATTTACTGTGACTGTATATGAGGGAAGACGATTCACCTTGAAAATCCTCAGACACCTCAGTTTTGCAAACACTTTCTTCCACATCATGACTGCTAGTAACTCTTTCTCTGTTTGCTATTAAATTTATACTCCTCTTCTATACTTCTCTTACCAAGGGACCCAGGGCAACTTAAAATTTTTAAAATAAAAATTTAGCTTTTAAAAATGTAGTTACTTGAGATGGATTGAAACTGGCTCTTGAAGCATTAACCTTTCTAATTCTTGAGCGAAACAAGCTGAAGAAAAGGGAATTAACAAATGGCTTGTTTGAACCCCATACATTACTATGAAAGGTCTTTCAGCATCAAAATGAATGAGGTTTTTTTAACACAGGGGTTCTTAGCTTCAGGATGAATTTCTGGCTAGTCCCATCTGACACTGCCTAATGTGTTTGCAACTGGTATTTTAAGAAAGGGCTCAAAGTCTTTCTAAATTTAGGGTGGAGGTGAAGACTTGAGCCAATCCTGTTCTATTTGCTCAGGCACATTTTGGAGGGGTCAGGGCTCATACACACACATACACTTCTCCCATTCCAAATCTGGGTCCATTTTTCCCAACCAGGCTCTAAAACATGAAGTATAGCAGCAACGGTTGTGTATGAAGGCTTCTGTAGGCGAGAATCAGTGAGGACAGCACTGGATGGGTGAAGCATCTCCTCCCCCTAGCAAATTGTTTTTCCATGAAAATGCAGCCTATTCCCACAGTCATGTTCCAGCAAACAAATTTGGATGAACGGTGCAGTGCTCTGTACCAACCAAATACCATCACTAGAGCGTTCACCCAACCATTCAAAACCATTGGAGGGGGTGCACTAATTCTGTAAGCAAAACTACCACATCTGATTTTGGTTCATTGTTCCACTTGATATATTAGTAATTTTTTACAGCTTTGGAGTGTTTTCTCAATATATTAGAATGTTAGGACAATTCGCCACTTGTATGTTTACTCAAAAGTAAGCCAAATCCACTTTTCAATATAACTTACTCCCAGGAAAATCTACACAATATTATGGCATTAAATCTTCCATGAGATTTAGCCCAATGGGTCAGTCATGTGGAGGAAGCAGCATGAAAGATGGCCAAAGCGCATTAGGTGTCATTAATTGATAATAATTCAAATCAGTACACTGGGCAGTTGTCTGTTAAGGAATTGAGAGCATGGGGAAATGGCTCACCTCTTTCAGGTATACATTTCAGAGGTGAAAGTCCCTTATGTGGCTGTTCATGGCTAGGAACTTGATTTGGGCAAAAGATTGGGGATGTCTACAGCATATTGGTTTTGTGGTGACCATGGATTCCAAGCCCAACAATCTTTTTATTCATTTTGTTGTAATTAAATTCATCTAAAAACATATATGTCTAGTTGTTTAATGCCATGGTTCTGAATTATCTTCTTATGTTGCTTATTTTGAAATACATATAGAATGTAAATGTAGAACAGATCTGATTTCTGGAAATAATTCTAAATACTATTATTCCTTTGACAGATAAAACTTTTTTTTTTGTATATATGTGTTTGTGAATTATTCTTTTTTCCCCAAATTGTGTTATAACAGGTATACCTTCCATCACTAGATGTTTTATTGATGAACAGTTTTAGAAGGTTACCGCTTATAACTGTATACAAGTGTACTACAGTCTTGTCATAGTGCCTTCCATGAAAATTGAAAACACTAATGAATGCTGAATGTGATACCTTAAGCCAGGAGTAGGCAACCTAAGGCCTGGGGACTGGATTCAGCCCCCCAAGGCCTTTGGACCAGCCCCAGGCTGGCCCTGCCGCCGCCGCCACCCGCCGCCGCTGCCCGCCATGATGATATTGATTATTGTTGTTATTACTTGTTCTTGGGGTTTTCTTGGCAAAATCTCCACAGGGGTTTTGCCATGGCTTTTCTGGGGCTGAGAGAGTGTGCATGCATATTTTTTTATTTTTATTTTTTATTTAGTTTTTTAAATTTTTAAAATATTTATTTATTTATTTATTTATTTATTTATTTATTTTTGGTGCTTCATCCCCCCAATTGTCTGAGGGACAGCAACGCCTGAGGGACAACTCAAAAAGGTTGCCTACCCGTGCCTTAAACATTGTCGCAATCTGGTTCTCAGGAAATGTAGGATTGTTGGGGTTTTTTTAAAGTGCTATATAATGTGTTGCCCAGTTTGCAAACATTTTACACATGATCATTTTCTTATGACATGAAGATAACATGGAATGGTTTTCAATAGATTTTTGCCACATTCAGCATTTCTGGCTGTATCTCATGTCACTAAATTATCTCAGTCTGTATCTCACTTCTGATTTTCTTTTCTTTCTTTTTTTCAGATAATTTTCAGAATAAAAATAGTTATGATCTGAATCCCTCGGAAAATTGAACTGAAATTTGCAAGAAAGTATTATGTGAATTGTTCCTTTGCTGCATTGCACAATAATGTTCCTATCCAGGGAGTGAACTAAACCAGTGGAGGCAGATTTAACATAAGATTTGCAAAGATTTGTGTTGCAAAGACAAGGTGTGACTTTGCAAAGGCTAGATCCAAACGGGCACCTGAACAGTGATGCATACTCACACGTGAGGTATCCTAACACTATGTGTGTGTTGTGTGCCTTCAAGTTGTTTCCAAATTATGGCAACCCTAAGGCAATCTTATCATGGGGTTTTCTTGGTAGGATTTGTTCGGAGGAGGTTTACCATTGCCTCCCTCTGAGGCTGAGGGCATGTAACTTGCCCAGGGCCACCCAGTGTATTCCCAAGCTGGGAATTGAACCCTGGTCTCTAGAGTTCTAGTCCAACACTCAAAATACTATGCCATGCTGGTTCTTATCCTAACACTACCAGTGCAAAATAAGCCATGCATTTCTGTCCAAATTACAATAGAAATATGAATGCACACCTCTGACCGTGTATATTTACATTGGCTTCAGTTATGCACATGTTATTCATGACTGTATGTGGGTTGATGCCTAGAAATTAAGAAATTATGGCCAAGATTCTGTATCAGGAAATGTAGTGTAAAGATCCACCTAGGCAAAATTACACCACATCTCCCCTTTCACAGGCCTTACCATCTTCTTCCAATGCACCCCATTGCTATTTAGTGGCTAGTGAAGAGCAGGAGCCATTAGAGATGCACAGAGATGCATCAGCATCTTCCAGGAGGACCCCTGCAAAGTCCCATAAAATACTTTCATCATTGTGCATCTGGCTACAGGGACATAGCCAGGTGCTTCCCCAATGAACCCAGAAGGAAGAAGGTGAGTCTTGGGTGAGGGGCAGTTACTGTTCAAAGGGCAAAATGACCTCTTCCCTCCACAGTGGCCATAAAAAGACACAGGTATAGGTTAGATCAGCATGTGTCACTATGGATGTCAATATGCTGACTACAGCAGAACTAGAGCACCATAAAAAAAGCCATCACACTATCTTGGCAAGTAAATATGCAAAGCTTTGGATGCATATGCCTTGAGATCACAGCTATCAATTTTGTTTCCCCAGAATGAATGTAAAAATACAGATTTCCAACCAACTTTCACCCTAATATGTAAAAGGTCAAAATGCAAAATACAAGCATCAATTAACCTGCCGCAGACATGGCAGTGACATTATGCTAACAGCCATGCATGCAATATGAGTTGCTCAGTCATGAAATCATAACTTAATTGGCAAAATATGGAAGTTTTTCCCAAGTCTTGTTTAGTATTTATTGATTATGTTATGAGACATGTTTTTTGAGACAGACAAGACATTTTCCCAGTAATCAAGCTTACAAAAACTAGCCAATATTTTACACAAAAAAACCCATATTGCAGGCAGTACTAATACAAACTAAAATTTGCTCCCATTTACTTTTAAAGCTGAAAGATATTTAGATATTTAAAATGTTAAATATTTAAGTGAAATCCTTGACTCAGGTGGTGTCACTAGGGAGGTGTGGTGGTTGCGAACCACACCAGTTGAGACCCTAAGAGATCACACCACTGCTCCTCAAACATCTGACTTTTGGAAAGAAATGAGCTATGGCATTCATCTCTGTCCCATTAAAATGCTGAAGAGATGATAAGCTAATTGCCCCCAACAAGCTGGGTACTCATTTTAGCAACCTCGAAAGGGTGCCAGGCTGAATCAACCCTGAGCCCCTGGCTTGAACTGAACTCACAACCTTCTGGTTTGTGAGTGAGTGGCTGCAATACAGGCATTTTACCACTGCACCACTAGGGCTCTTAGTGTGCCTCCAGACTGGGCACAGAGGTGTGTAATAACATCCATTTTAAAAAAGTTTTCAAAAGTTTCAGCTCGTGCTGAGGCTGGGAGGAAAGGCAGTGTGATAATCTCCTATGCCTCTTTAGACATATGTGACATGAGAACATCAGCACCAAGGTCTGCTGGGATCCTCCATAGGTCTCAGTACTACTGTAACCTGACTATGGAAATATACTATACTCTTGCCCACTCCCCATGAAATGTAGAATGGCCATGTAGGGAGATATTTACTAAGGAATCTATTTGGAGGCTGTTTAATAAGATGGAGATGGTATATGGCTCAGCCTAGTGTAGGTCTGCATTTGGGCCTGCTACACTACACTAAACCATATAGGATTGTGGCCTTTAAATCAACAGCATCACTCCAGTATATTTTGCAAACAAGCATAGTTTAAGCATGTCTTTTTCTGCAAAAACAGACAATGGTGGCAATTTATTTTCTTTTTATAAAATGATCATATTTCATAGTGCTGTCACTGGCAGATTCTAATTTCTTCTCTTTTTTGCCCTCCCTCCCTCTGGCAGATAGCAAGACAGATCAAGAGAAGAACATTCACAGTGTCAAGCTGCACAGTATGAGATCAGTGTTTAGCATTGCTTCACATAAGACTGATTCCTATATGGAAAGTAAAGCCACATGGATGCATGGGTACTCATGTATAAAAGGTACATGTATTAACAAAAGTGGATAGGGGGGGCTTTGTGGTTAATCACCTTTGAGTCAGTCCCAACTCATAGCAACCCTGTGGATGAGACATCTCCAGGACTCTCTATCCTCCACTGCTCTGTTTTGGTCCTGTAATTTCACACCATGATCTCCCTGACTGAGTCTATGCATCTGGCAAGCTTTCTTCCTCTCTTTTTGCTTTCCTCTACCTTTCTGAGAGTTATTGTCTTTTCTAATGAGCCATGCCTCCTCGTGATGTGGCCAAAATACCAATGTAACAGCCTCAGTTTGGTCATCTTGGCTTCTAAGGAGATTTCAGGATTGATCTGTTCAAGAACCCACTTGGTTGTCTTTTTGGCTGTCCACAGTATCCTCAACATTCTACAGCACCACATCTCAAATGAGTTTATTTTCTTTTTACCCACTTTCTTTACTGTCCAGCTCTCACCTCCTCACTTCCATACATGGTGATGGAGAATACAGTGGCTTGGCCAATTCTAACTTGCTCAGCTGTGTATTTTTACTCTTTAGAATCTTTTCTAATTCTTTCATAGCTTCCCATTCCTAATTTAATAATAATATTTATTTATATCTTTACAACATTAAAATTATCATAAAATACAATCCCCGTCCCGCCCCAAAGAACCCCAGAACCCACCCACCCTTAAAAAATTATTAAACAATTCTACAGTTTAAAACATACTTAAAATAAATTTCATTAAAAAGACGAACCCTAGCTGCAACAGAGAATAGGGAAGGAAAGGATGACTGACTCTTAAGGCTGGGAAATCTAGTCAGGAAAGGCCTGCTGGAAGAGATCCATCTTGACAGCTTTCTTAAAGCTGCTTAAGGTCGTAATCTGATGGATTCGTCCAGCAGGCCGTTCCATAATCTGAGAGCAGTTGCCGAAAAGACCCTCTGGGAGGTAGTAGACAGTCTCGTTTTAATAGGCTGTAACAAATTCCTCCCAGAGGACCGGAGTACGCGGGGTGGATTATATGGGAGGAGGTGGTCCCGAAGACATCTTATACTGGGCCCAGAAACTAATAGGCAGTCAGTGAAAATACTTTAATACTGGTGTTATATGGTCTGTCCTTGATGAGACCAATCTGGCTGCCATGTTCTGTACTAACTGTAGTTTCCGGACCAAGCATGGGGGCAGCCCCATGTAGAACGCATTACAGAAATCCAGATGGGAGGTTACCAGGGCGTGCACCACAGTTTCCAGGTCCCTTACTTCCAGGAAAGGAGCAGCTGGCGTATCAGCCGAAGCTGATAGCAGGTGCTCCTGGCTGTCACATTTACCTGATTAGTCATCTGAAGCGACAGATCCAGGAGCAACCCCAGACTGCAAACTCTCCTTAGCAGAGAGTGTGACCTAGTTTCAGTGTCGTTACTGCAAGTACCTCCATTTTATCTGGATTCAGTCTCAATCTGTTTTTCCTCATCCAGTCCATTACTGCCTGAAGACAGTCATTGAGGGAAGAGACGCCATATGAAGTCAAAACTGAAGACCGAGACATGGAGAAATATATCTGGGTGTCATCAGCGTACTGATAACTCCCTGCCCCATGACTCTGAATGATCTCTCCTAGCAGCTTCATATATATGTTGAACACCATCAGGGACAGGATGGCACCTTGAGGGATGCCACAATTAAGCTCTTTCCTATTAGAGCAACTGTCCCTGAGCAACACCCTCTCGGATCTGCCCAAGAGGAAAGAATGGAGCCACCACAACGCAGTGCCTCCAATTCCTAACCCTCTCAGGCGATCCAAGAGGACATTATGATCTGTTGTATCAAAAAACCGCTGAGAGGTCTAGGATCACCAGTAGGGTCACACTATCCCTATCGATGCTCAGATGAAGGTCATCAGCTAAGGTAACCATGGCAGTCTCAACTCCAAATCCTGTCCTAAAGCCAGTTTGAAATGGATCTAGATAATCAGTTTCATCCAGGACAGCTTGGAGTTGAAGAGCAACTGCCCTCTCAATCACTTTGCTTAAAAAAGGTAGTAAGGAGACCGGCCTATAGCTATTCATATCCAGGGGGTCTAGGGAAGGTTTTTTCAAAAGCGGCCTAACCGCCGCTTCCTTCAAACAAGGTGGAACGTAGCCTTCCCTGAGGGATGCATTGATGATTATCCTCAATGCATCCCCCCACTGGACAGCCAGCCATGACGGGCAATGAGTGAGAGGGCAAGTTGTCTTCCTCACTCTATCAAGGAGCTTGCCCACATCATTGGTAATCACAGATTGAAATCGATCCAGTATAATTTCATTAATGGAGTTGCTGGACATCTCATCACTTGATTCTGTTGCAATACTGGCATCCAAGTCAGCTCTTATCTGAGAGAATTTATCTGTGAAGAAGTTGTTAAACACGTCAAAGCAGGCCGTTGTCAGGTTAAGTAGTGGGTTCTGCACTGATGAAACCCGCATCAGCTTCCCGACCACCCTAAACAGCTCCGCTGGACGGAACTCTGCAGATGCAATACATGCAGAGAAGAAAGATCTCTGCGCTGCTCTTATTGCTTCTCAATAGGAATAAAGAAAATTCCTATGATGACTCTTGTCACATAAGAGTTGAGTTTTCCACCAGATGCATTCCAGTCATTGTCCAACCCGCTTCATTTTCCTAAGCTCTTCCATATACAAAGACTTCCGGTTGGAAGCGGGTTGGAAAGGATGCTTGGGAGCGATTGTGTCAATAGCCTTGGCGAGATCCGTATTCCAAGTATTCACCAAAACTTCGACATAATCACCGGGGTTACCAATCTTTAAACCCTCTAAGGCTTTCTGAAATCCAGTTGGTTCCATTAGCCTTCGAGGGCGGACCATTCTAATAGGTCCACACATCCCGGTGGGGCAGACAGTGATTCTTAGTTCAG